TGCTGGGACACCCTCTCCATCAGCCACCCTTGCCTCAGTCGAGCAAGAAGGCTCACCTGGGCATGGCCTTGATGGCACAGGGACACCAGCAGGTCTCTGAGAGGTGGCACTGGTCTGGGAGGGCTGTGCTGTGCCCAGGGAAAACGCTCTTTCCACGCTCCCACCGTGTCCCACTCACCGACCCGGGGTGTCAAAACCCCAGCCCAGCAGCAGGTCGGGGTGACCAGATCACTCATGGAATTGCCTGTTCCCTGGGCTCTGCAGGAATAGCAGGGCTCTGCTGGGCTATTTTCAGCCCACGGGGACATTTCCCCTGTAAGTGATAGCTGGAGGAAGCCGTGAGCCCGTGTGTCGGTGGGGGCTGCCGGCGGGGCCGGGGAGGCTCCGGGCGGGCACCCCGAGCCAGGATGGGGCGTTGGCAGTGCCAGCACAGCCCTGGTGCCAGCCAGGCACGTGGGTCAGCCCTCCCCACACATGGGGCATGCCATGGGACAGGGCTTAGAGCTGTGTGACCCTGTCCCTGTGCTGGAGTCCCCCTTGCTGCCGGGTGAGACCCCCAGGGCTGAGTATCCCTGCTTGGCTCCGCCAGGCAGTGTCTGCCCAGACATTCCCATGGATTTGAGGATCCTTTGGGAAAACAAGTCATCATGCATTAGAGTCCAGTTTGGCAAGTCCAAGGGCTGCCCAGGTGACCAAGAATGCTTGGGATGACCCAAAGAGGGATGGGGAGCCTTCCTTCACTGAGGAAGGCTCGCCCTGAGTGCATGGAGCGTGTTCCTCAGGGGACACACCTGGGATGGGTTGGTGAAGCCTCCCGTGGTTGGAGGCCTGGGGACAGGCCCAGTGTGACCTCTTGGAAGTCCCTCCTCCATCCCCAGCTGTGCCACAGCATGTCCCTCAGGTCCCTCAGCATTTCCCTGGGCTGCAGACCCTGCAAGGGTTGATGTTCCTCAACGTACAGCGTGACATCTGCCTGTGCCAAAACACCTGATGTTTCCAGGCTGCCTCCTCACCGACAGACCCAGATCTCCTTGGCCAGGAAGCAGCGGGTGCTTCATCTCCCACCTCCCTCATCTTCCTGTCTTCTGCAAGTCAGGGGTTCAGGGTTCCTTCCAGATCTTTAGGGTGGGGAGACTGGAATAAACACCCCGCAGCATTGATTCCCCATTTTCATCTCTATATTTAGAAAGCTTCAAGCCTGGTTTTAATCCCTTTGGTAGATCCTGGCGAGGTTTTTTTACCATTTTCTAATCAAAATATCATGCAGTTCTATCCAACTCTTTATAGAAATCAAATCAACTTATAACTTTTTTGGACTACACTTAAAATCTCCTGCACAGATGAGGCCAATTAGTCTGACAAAGCTGTTTCCTAGACCTCTATCTGCATTGAAAAAACTGGAATATATTTGCTTTATGCTGGTGTTTTGGGATCATGAAGCCTCTGAGATGTGATGATGTGTCTGGGCATCCTGGGTTTTGGGGTGCACAAGGGTCTTGTGTCCTCTAGGCTGCCTGAGCCCTTGTGGGACACTTCCCTCTGAAGGTGTTGGCCTGGCTGGCTCCAAACTGGTGCCGGGCCACAAGCCAGAGGAGCACCAGGGGTTCAATCCCAAGTAGAAGCCATGGGGACCTCACAGAACCTGATGGGCAAGGACATCATCATGAAATGGGGTCTGGTGGAAAAGGGGGGGGATCTGCAGCAGGTCCAGGTGGAAAATCCGAGGAAGTCCCAGACTTTGTGCTCAGTCATTCTCCACGAGGTTTCAAAGAGCTCTTTTCAAAGAGCTTTTTCAGAACAAAGGCAGGGATGGACAGTGCAAGGTCCCCCCAGGATCCCACAGGGAGGATGTGGGGAGTACAGGACTAGCAGGAGCCAGTGGATAATACCCCAGGGCTGCAGGGGCTGGGATCCAGGCAGGGGAAGGGGGCGTGTGAAAAGCCATTCCCTGCCATCACCGGCCCCACGCTCGAGGCTCTGAGGGCTGCAGGGGCTGGGATCCAGGCAGGGGAAGGGGGCGTGTGAAAAGCCATTCCCTGCCATCACCGGCCCCACGCTCAAGGCTCTGATTTCTGCTGGAGGGGGAGAGTGTCCCTCCAGGGCCACCTGTGCCCATCAGTCCCTCCTCACTGTCCTCCTGGAGGATCCCTTTCGGCACCAGGTCTGTGCCGTTCTGTACATCCCCGCGCAGGGATGGAGGGGACTCCGTGATGTTCAGCCTCCAGCAGCCATCCCTGTCCTTCCCTCATGGGCTTTTCCTGGGTGCAAACAAGCTGTGGCACCCTGTGGCTCACAGAGTCCCATTGTGAGCTCTCCATCCCTGCTGTCACTGCCGGGAAAAGGGTCCCCAGGCAGCTGACAGCCCCCCAGGACAGGATTGGGGGTGGCAGGGGCAGTGCAGGACAAGGATCCTCTGGGAGGTCAGGTCCCTGAGGGGAGCAGGGCGAGGGCTCCTCTCCCAAGCCACCCATCTGCTTGGCACAATGCAAGGTGTGAACACAGGGAGCCCCGGTGTCACTTTACACCGTGGCTGTCCCCTCCCGGAGCCCACGGGGGCCCCCAGGGGCGGACGTCACCCTTGGCTGACAGCAGGGTGAGGGGCCGGGGCCAGCGGCCGAGGGGGCTGGGGCTTCACCACTGCTCCTCCTGAGCCCCACGTACAGTTGCTGCTGCCCTATTTTTAGCCCCCGGCGGGTGCACGGAGGGTGTTAAGCCCGTAACCTTCGGCCCATTTCACGCTCGTTGCCCGGCCATCTGCAGGTCAGCACAACTCACCCCACCAGGGACTGGGAGACCATGTAGGGGAAACAGGAGGTGCAGAGGGGACAGGGACTTTGTGTAAGACATTGAAGGTCACAGGACAAAAAGCCCATGACCAGCACACTGGCAGGAACATCCCCGTCGGAGCGCCTGGGGGATATTTCCCTTCTCCTCCAAGGGATGGCTGGTGGTGGGCACTGGGGTTGCAGTTGCACCTGGCCATGGTGGGTGATGGCCCCTCTGGGTCAGAGGAGACACACAGACTCCAGACAAAGCCCTCAGGACATGCAGGGTCTCCTCTGCCTGGTCCTGCCCCCCTTCTTCACTTGGACCATCACTCCTCTTCCAGCCCTCCAGGTCAGCAGCTATTTTGGGCCCAAGCTTACAATATCCCCATTCCCATCAGATTAGAGGACCCTCCAGGGACCCAGGCTGGTTCCCAGACCATCAGGGCCAGGCAGGGGCATGTTGGCCCTCAGCCACCCAGGGTTTTGCAGGTCAAACCTAAGATGTTCCCCTTCAAGCAGTGCCTGCAGGGTCCCAGGGGAAGGTGCTGCCTGAAAGACAAGTGCAGGAGGGAGGAGGGTGGGAGCTGCCCACCACCCATCTTCCTTCCATCTGGGAGCTGAACTGGTAGCCCAGATGCACCTGCAAGCCGTGTGCCAGCAAAGGACAGGGAGGTCAGCGGGGGCAGGAACAGGGTGACCCACGCATCCGGTCTGGGCACGGTGAGGAGCCGTGGCRGCGGCRGCGGCTCTGTCGTGCCAGGGAGCTGAGAGCTGCTGGGAATGCGGGCAGGCTGGGGGCAGCCTGTCCTTCCCAGTGCCCGCTGCTGGCATGGCACGAGCCTCCCAGTGCGACCCGATCCCAGATAACAGCCCCACGGGCACAGTGGGGATACAACCACCCATCCAGCATCCCAGCCAGGGCAAACTGGGCTGAGTGCTCTGGGGCTGGCGCTGTGCTGCTCCCAGCCCTGAGCCTCCCATACTCAGCCACCGTGCCCCAGCTTTGCTGAGGTCCTGCTGATGCTCCACTGGACACTGTCCCACGGCTCCTGCACGGACACGGCGTGGGAGCTGGAGCAGAGGGCTGCCTGTGCCCAGCACTGCCCGCTCCCCTCCCGCAGCCTGGGTGGAGACGGTATTTTTTCTTGCTTGGCATCTGCTTGCCAGCTGGTGTACAAAGGAATTACTTTCCTCTGAAATGCTCCCCTGGCACTGGGCGTTTGGGGGGATTATTTAGACTAGCAGCAACTGTTTGTAATGGAGACAGTATAGCCATGATCTTTTATTTTTGGCACCCGTTGACTAATGTTAAATTGCAGTTGGAGCCTATGGAAAATACGGATGGATTCTCCCGGGCCACAGAACAAACTCATTGTGTCCCCGCCAGCGGCACAGCGAGGCAGATGCTTTCCTAGTGAAGGGACACTCACAATAAATAGCTCCCGAGCCCTGCAGCCGGGGTCAGTCCCTGCCTGTGGAAAGGCAGGACCCCGTGCTGGGAAGCCCCTTGTGCCAGGAAGCTCCTTCCTCCTCCTCCTCCCTCTCACCCTGCCACTCACCATGGCTGGTGTGATGCTCTCCCGAGTCAGGGCTGGGGAAGGACCCTTTTAACCTGCCAAGTGCCCACAGCCCCTGTCAGAACTGTTATTTTTACTGCTTTCCCCTGGTTTTTTTAGGGCTGCTTTGCCACCTTCCTGCAGTGCTCTGTGGTGGGTGGCAGCCCCAGCCAGCACAGCCACAGAGCTCCCTGCCAGCTCGGCTTTGCGCCCCACAAACTCATCTTTGCGCCCAACTTCTTGCGACGGGGACAGAAAATTGAGCTGGGACTAGAGAAGGTTTGGGGATGAGTTTAAACCTCTTGGTAACAGCCACAACTCCTCCCTCAGGGCCCCCCGTGCTGGCAGGGGTCGGTGGGTGCCCCAGTAGCCGCGTGCCGGCGCGGGTGAGACTGACCGAGCTGTTCTCATCGTTTAGAGCCGCGCGCCCCCGGCACGGACCACGGTGCTGCCGAAAGCCCCCTGCCAGCCACAGAGCCCCGGCTGGAGGAGAAGGTGGCTGATGGCAGCCCTGAGGAGGAGCAAGACAGTGGCACTGCCAACGCCTCCTTGCCCGGCGCCGCCGAGGAGGGACGTGGAGAGGGGGAGGAAGAACCGGCGTGGAGCCTGAGTAGGGGCCCGGGGCCAGGGGACAGCCGGACAGAGGAGACCACCGAGGAGAAGGGCCAGGAGGGACAGAGCCCAGGGGAGGATGCCATGGCAGCACATCACGGAGGGATCCACGGGTCTGGCACACAAGTTGCCAACCATGCCCGGGAGGATGAGGAGCCTGGCATGGAGAAAGGAGGCTCTGAGGAGCAAGGGCAGCCTGGGGAAGAGGAAACAGAGGAGCCAAGAGGAGCGTCTGCTCTGGAGGGGGGAGAAGAAGGGGATGAGCAGAGCTCGGAGGAAGATGATGAGCAAGGAGAGTCTGACAAAGGTCAACACGGGGCGTCTGAGGAAGATGGAGGCAAGGGAGAGTCTGAGGAGGAGGGAGATCCTAAGGAGGAGAAAGAATCTGAGGAAGATGGTGAGAGGTCAGAGAATGAAAGTGAAGAGGGTGACAAGGAAGCAGCCAGCACTTCCGACAAAGAGAGCCATGGCAAACCAGCAGCTGCTGGCATGGGAGAAGCCAGGGATGGCCCTGCCAGCTGCCATCACCCACCCTGTGAGGACGAAGAAGAAGACCCGCCAGCAGCAGATCCACCAGCAGCAGTGGAAGACCCACCAGCAAAAGAAGACCCCCCAGCAGTGGCAGAAGACCCCCCAGCAGTGGCAGAAGACCCCCCTGCAGACAATCCCCCACTGGCAGAAACAGAGGGCCCCATCACCCCCCCAGCTGCTGCCGAGCCCCAGCACAGCCAGATAGGTTGGAATCTTTTCTTGTGGGTGTGCTCTAGCGGCGAGAGTGACCTACCATCGACCCCGGTGGAGCTGAGCTTGGCACATTAAACCTCGCCTAGTGCATGGCCCTGTCCTAACGCTTGTGCTTCCCCACCTGCCCCTAACACAGCCGTGGGCAGCCAGGGCGCAGCAGGATCCCGCAGGTGCCCGTCGCGCGGGCGCTCGGCAGAGAGCACCAAAACTGGCTGATGTTCCCCTCACTCCACTTTGAGGCCATGGTGTCTTCCCAGGGATGTGGACATGGATAAGATTTTTAAGCCCCAGGCCCCTTCCAGCACCCACAGGTATCTTAAAGGCTCTTTGTTCTCCACCTGCAGAGTCCTCCGGACCCTCAGCTCGGTGCAGGGGCAGGATGCTCCCAGGATGGTGGGTCTCTTCTCCACCAGCTCTTGGCTCATAGGGAAGGTGTGAAGAGCTAATCCAGGCCAATGAGTTATCAATGCACTGGCCCCGCTCAATCAGTGAAAGGCTAACTAAGGAAAAGGGACACCCCCCACCATGATTTCCTAGAAATACTTGTAGACTTTGGCCCACAGGTTGGGCAGCGACCTTCGGACCCAGCTGAGTCTTTTTTTCTCTTTCATCTACTAATGTGCCAGCTCAAAAAACCTCCCATTTTTCCCAAAAGGCAAGCCCAGTTTGGTCTCTGTGGCTTCACTTGGCAAGTCAAAAGGTCTTCCTCAGCCCAATGCTCTGTAGATGCTCAACACAGTCCCATGGCTTGGTGGTGCCCCCCTTGGCCCTGGTGTCCCCAGCCCTGTCCCCAAACCCCCACCTATTACAGCTCAACCCAGCTCCCCTTACTGAAAAGCTCTTGGAGGCTGTTGGTGTGCCAGCACCTCCATGGTGAGGACACCTCTATCTCCAAGTTTTGGGGACACTGAGGTGCCTTCCCCGGACGGAGGCAGCTGCTTCGTGCTCCCCACATCTGGGATGGAGCCACAAGGCACAGGGCACCACGCAGAGGGCTCCAGGGTGATATGGAGGCAGAGGTGGGAGAACTGGGAGGGAATGGCCCTGCTGGCAAAGGCGAGGCAGCCAGGACGCGTCAGGCTGGGCCGTCCCCCAGGAGCCAGAGCCAGCCCCAGCCTCGTGAATCCTGGCTCAATGTATAGTTTTTGGGGGAAATGGGCAAAGAGAGATGTCAGCGTAG